CAACTGCCACTACTGCTCTGAGTAACATTGGTGGTAGTTTAGCAACCAATTTAGGTAAGTTCTTTACAAACTTCATTTTTTAAATGTATTATAGGATTATATTCATTGATATATGACTATCTGATATTTTAAGTGACCATACTTTGAAGAGTAATCTAAAATGTCAACATTTACATGTATGCCTGCTATATTGCCCCTTTTTTAATTTAATTTTTTTTTTAATTTATTTCAGGTTTAGTAGATATTGTAGTATTAGACGATAATCAGCCATATATTTTGCAACAGCCTCAAGGACAGCCTGGTAATGAATTCATACTACCAGAACTTGGGGCAAATGATGGTAAGACTGCTTCTCGTGAAATAATTACCGTATGATCGAAAAAAACGGCGTCCAATTGGCTGGAAAATGACGATCGATGATATTTCCCATATAAATTTACATATAAAATGACAGCGATCTTCATTTCATAGCCATCGCTGACGCCGTTTTTTCTCGATCATCAAATGGCCTCAGTGTTGGATTGGAATTAAAAATCGCTTCATTTTATAAAGGTATACGGGAAATGTCAGCGATCTCCATTCCTAAGCCAACTTGACACCGTTTATTTTCAATCACACGTTGCTATTTTCAAGTACTAATTAATAGATAATGTCAAATGTAATTTAAACATCAATATAAATGTCAGATGTATGATATTTTATTTACTGTTCATTTGAACTACTTCTTTGTTGAACGTTTCTTGTAGATTTTTTTATATCAATCTAAAATTAAAAACAGGAGAGTTGAAAAAGTTTTCAGTTGTGTAAAATGCATGTCTTTGTCATATATACGAATGCGTGTCATATAACTTTTACCCATTAATTTTATTGGATTTATGGATGGAACCTTTAAATGAAAAGATTAAGGAAGGATGTTATTTACATATTCACACATGGAGAAATGGAATATACATCATGAGACAGTTCTGTTTAACCTTTTAATTGACGCATTTGAATTTGATTTGAAATTATGCGGATATATGGTATTTCTGAAATTATTTTATGTTATATATTATTTATTCTACATCTGGATTTCAAAGGTAGTAAATCTAGAAGTATGTTCTTCTTAGAAGCTTCTCTAACCAACTTCTAGTTGTTCAATAAATAATAAATAACATAAAACAAGCTCAGTAAAGACAGACAAATCTGCAAAATTTCAAATCAAATTCAACGCCATACAGAACTATCAGGGATCCCTACCCTAGGGCCCCACCTCCGTCTGCCATGCATGAATACATGGATAGCATTAAATTCCTTTAATCTTTTTATTCAAAGATGAAAATGCAATAGTAGGGTCGCGGTACATTTGAACTATTTCTATAGGTATATTACAAGCGGCAGCTGCGGGGTCAGATATCAATTCAACGGACGAGCTTGTCATGGTTTTAACGGATCACGATTATCAGGACGAGCAGAACAATGGACAGGGAGACAATTCGAACATAGTCGTCCTTTACAGTCATCCCGTGGAGGGCCAACAAGGACAATTTATAACATCTCAGGTACCTAAAAAATACATAATGAAAATATTTTTTTTGTTAACAACATATTTATAGTTTTATTATGTGAGACGTTAATATATTACATAATTATGTGTTTGCTGTCTTACAAATAATGAAATCAAACTAAGCCTTTTTAATCAATTAAATTAATTATATTAATTAAAGATAACCTAACATAAAACTATTAAGTAATACTTGTAGATAAAAAATAATATAACTAAAATTTCTATAGCTTCTATATACAGACCGGACCACTATAGTAGTAACATAGGCAGAACCGGACGAATTAGCGTATATAGGTAGATATGTGATAAGAATGTTTCAGAATTTGTATTTAATTGCCAAAACGAATACATAGATTCTCGCGACAGTTCTCGTGTAAAATTTATTTTTTAAGTAAAATAATGGATGTTTACGAAGTTCGTGAGCAAATTCAAATTGTAAAATGGTATTTCCAAAATAGGTCTTATCGGGATATACAAACAATTTTTCCACAAATTTTTGTAGACAGGCCAATTCCATCTTTACCTACTATATCAAGAGTTATTAATAATTTTGAAACACATGGGTGCGTGTTCCCACAAAAACACAAAAAGCCTGATGTGTTGATTATTGAAGAACAGGAGTTAAAGCAAAAAAAATAAAGTGTTCATTTGTGCTACCGCGGATCGAAATCCCACGTTTTCAAGTAATCAAATTGCTGAGGTGGTTGCTATGCCCACAATGCCCGTATTGTTCAAGAATATGTGAACAATACTTTTCCCAACCGTTTAATTAGTGGACATGGAACTATTTTGTGCCCGCTAGATCACCAGATCTTTTACTCCCAATGATTTATTTTTGAGGGGTTATAGAAAATCCAAAGTGTATGGTCATAATAGGGCTAATAATCTGGATGAGCTTCAAGTAAAAATACGAGAGGCTTTCCAAACCTCTAACTATTAGCCCTAATATGTTAGCCAGTGTCAGAGGGGATTTTACGACCGCCTAGGCTTCTGTCTAGCACAAGAAGATGGTCTTTTTGAACACTCGTTATCATTTTTTTTATTTAGAGTATTATTTTAGTTTTTTTGGGGGTTTAGAGAATTTATTTATTTTTAGTTTTGGCTTGTAAACACATTCAAATAATAAATATTTAAGTATTTTTATTTTAAATGTTACCTTAAGTGAAGGTAAACACTTAAAAATGAAAATCAATACTCGGCACTCCTCGCGTCGTATTCCTAGTCTGTCACGACCGACCCGTCCAAGCACAAAAGCAACTGCGTACTGCCTTACCAGCCGACTAGCCGGCAGTGAATCCCGAGTACGAACGCAAATCGGGTAAACGTAAATTCGTCCGGCAACTTGCTATGTTACTAGTAGCCTGGTCGTCTCTGTATATGCTACAGTCTTAAGTTATCTAAGAATATGAAATTTCGTAGGGTAACTTACTAGTAAATTCGCAAGGAATGCTGGAAATCCGAAATGGGGCGGCTATAACTACGACAGCCGGACAACTTTTAGTGAATACCACTGATAATACCATAACTACCCAAGCCTCACCATCTCCCATAGAATCGATAGAATTGATAAGGAAGGAAATCGAATCTGGTGACGGCACCGGAAATGGTGATAATAGTGCAGAGAACACGCATGTCGAAGAGGGACAACAACATGAAGTTGTTCACACAGGTAAGGGGTTATTTTCTAGTTCATACCAATCTACTATCAGTCAAACAATACTTAAATATTCTGACATAGACAAGATTTCAATATTATTTCAATGCTTTCCTCAATCGGACTATACATAATTCTTTATATTCGTATTTCGATAGAACCGGAATCTGTTGAACACAGTGAAGAAGCAGAAAGAGAAGAGGAACCAACGACTCAAGCTGAAACTAACGGAGTAAATAGTTCGCTGGATACCACCGATTCTTTACAGGAAGAACCTATGGAGGTTGAGGAAATTGGTCCACCTCAAATTCAAACTAATGCGCCTGAGGAGATTCCAGAAATTAATCAAAAAGAAGAAGTATGTAAAATGAAAGGCTATAAACGAAAAATTATGTGTTTTGTTTAATTTTAGGTTTTAAAGGAAGAAAAAAGGTATCCGTCATCGTTCGAAGGTGAACACGCTCCAGAAAGGAATCTAGCCGATATTTTAGATATTCCACCGTTAGAAGCAACGGACGATGAGGGTAAGTGAAAAAAATGCTTAACGTTTTGAAAGTTTATCTCTTTCCGTCGTCGGAAGCGAAAAAATACAAGGAATAAAGAAAAAACTATTTAAATGCAACTATTAGAGAACACTTTAGTTTTTTTTAAACAGATACGTCTACAAAAACCGTTGACGTTCTGTTAAAAGAACATTATAATATAAAGTTAAACTTCAAAATTAACAATTACTACCTGATAACAATTACTTAATAAGGTAAAACCAAAAAGCCTCAAACTTTCTGTATAGTCTATAAAATGAATTACTTTGAATTTTGACCGTTATTTTTTACCAACATGGCAAATATAAAATCCCTCTGTCAAAAAAGTTACTGATATTCTTTAAATTGAGTGCCTGAACGAATCAGATAGGTAACTCTTTTTACTTTCGTGAAATAGAAAAGGAAAATTATAAAACAAGTGACAGTTCTTCCTCTTCTTGCAAAAATCAACACGAAATAATTGTCAAAAGTAAAATGTCATCAGCTTTTGACATTTCTAAATATCAGACCAATGCCGTCTCTAATAGAACAGCCTTGGAGCGAGATTTATGTCGTCACGCTAGTTAGATACTACGGATTAATAAATGTGTTGTAGAATACATGGAAAACATAATTATTCCTCGTATTTTTGGTTTGTATTTTATAAATAATAATAATAATACCTATATGTAATAATTTACATATAAAATTACAGCGATCTTTATTTCATAGCCATCGCTGACGCCGTTTTTCTGTGATATTGTATTATCTGCAAATATAATTTTTCGAACATTGATACTTGCAAAATATACATATAAATTTTGTGAATGCAAATAATAATACATCACTATTAGTAGATATTGAATGTTTGTCACGCGTTTTGGCCTTAGCTCGGCTCTTTTAAATTAAAAAAAAAAAGAAAAAAAAATTTAGAAAAGAAGTAAAAAAAATACGAAGAAGAAAAAAATATTATTAAGTTAGCGATTAAGAAAAATAAATATTTATGGAATTTGCAGGGGTCTAGTCGCGAACAAATTTATGCCCTAGCTCAGAAAATTCGGAGAGTAGGGGCGGGTTAAGAGCGCCACTGACTTTAGACGGAAAAAAAAAAGTCAGAAATCCCCCAAGGTGTATTTAGGGCCTTACAAGTTCCACAAATACATAAATAAAAAAAAAGTAAATAAACAAAACAAAAAAGTCAAGATCTTAGAGAATTATGTAGACATAGGGCCAAAGGAAATATAAAAAAATAATGCAAACTGATTAGTTTCAGTACCCTCTATTGAAATATAAAAGGAAAATATAGGAAACAGTAAATAGAAAATACCAAATAGCAAATAGTAAAATTAAATAAATCAATAAAAAAATTGTTCACCAAGAAAAATATATCTTCACAATACGCAAGTAGCAAAATTACGTGAAATACCTAGGTACACCTTCGTGATCACGTAAGATTTACAAAAATAAAATATATATGTATATATCAGCGCAACTAAATTCAGCTAATATATCAAATTAATCAACAAATTAATAAATCAAATAAATAATACTAAACCAATTCACTAATAATAATAATTAATAATATAATTATTAAATAAATAAATCAAAATAATCAACTAATAATTATGAATTCATCAGTTCAAGAAATTTAGATATCGATAAAAAAAAATGAATAGATTTAAATTTTAAATAGAGACAAAAAGAAACTGTGTCAGCTGTATTAAATTTACAAAAAAAATTAAAGGAAAAAAAAAATGAAATATTATTTTATCAACAGAATTAAGTATGTGAAAATTTATTCTAATTAAATTATAATGTAAAAAAAATTATCTACGTTCAGTATTCGTGCGCACCAATGAAATTCAAATCGTATGATAGGGAAAAAAATAAAAATTGAATTGTACGATACCAAATAGTTGAAAATCTTCTAAATCAAATCAATCTTGGGCAGACACCGTCGGCTGTCAACTGTCAACCGTCGACTGTCAACTCCAGAAAAGTAAAATGGATACAGCAAAAAAAAACTGCTCCAACAAAAAAACTGGCTCAGAGAGAAGTCCTCAACACAGAAGAAAAACTTCTTCGGCCCAGACAAAAAAAACTTCTTCGGTCCAGACAAAAAAACTCTTCGGCTCCGAAAAAAAAACTCTTCGGCTCCGACAAAAAAAACCCTGCTAACTCAGGGTTTTCTACGAATCCTCAGGGGATTAATATTATTTCTTCCCCTGGATGGAATGGGGTGCTCAATAAAAAAAAAGGCGGGCTGCTTGGTTGACCCACGTCAGCTTTTTGAGGTGAAAATCCCGTCACCGGTAAAACCGTAAGCAATCGTCCAAAAACAAAAAGGTAAGATAGGATGCTGCAGTAATTTTTTGAGGCACACTCCGAAAATCCCCACAAGGGTAAAAATCAAAAACTTGACAAAAATGACCGAGAGGCCTCTGTACCTCACACTAGCTGAACATAAAGTGACCAAACCAAGGTAGTTCCAAGAAAAACGAAAACCTTTTTTGCAACAAAGAAATAGCCAGATAAAAAACACGAGCCCTTGATAAAATATGGATTGCCAACCATGAGCTGAATAAAGACATGAAGAAAAAGTTATATATAAAAAAGGAAAATAAAGTTAATATCAATAAATTTATATAATTAATAGAATAAATAAAGTTAACGAGATTAATGAAAGTTATATAGAAATTTGCTTATCAAAACATTCAAAATTAATAAATAACAACAATCTAGAGATATTGCGCATGACTCACTTGCCGGATCGATACGATATTTTTAAGACAATTATGCTTAGAAAATTCTACCTAAAATTAAAATAGAGCAACATAAATTTAATGAGTTTAACTATGTGACAATAGGCTCAATAATTACTGTTGATTAAATAACATACAAAAAATATATAATCAATTTATTAAAGTATATTTTGGGTTGCCTAATAGTTAATGTTAATAAAAATATAAATAAATATTTGACAGTTCAATTCAAAAAATTTCTAACCTACGTATTTAGTATATAAACAGAATTAACGGCGGAAATAATTATTTTATCTATTTCGGCTAAAATAAATATTAAATTGTATTAAATCAAACTAGTTTTGTGCTGCAAAAAAAATGTTATTAAGTGTGAAATATGTTTAGTTAAAAATAAGGATGGAATAATTACTTTTGTTAATATGTAAGTACGATTTATTTATTCTTGGTTTACTGAATTGAACTGATCGATATTTCAGACTAATAATAATATCAATTAGCGTTAAATTATTAAAGAAAAGAAATAAAATAGTTTAGTGAAATTTTGGCACGTTACATGTTTTTTGTTAAATTTGATCGCTTTTCAAACCCCAAAATTTAAAATATATTTTACATTTTACCCATTATCTTATGTACCTATTCATGATTTGTATATTGTAAAACATTTGCTGCATTTGTATGGTTCATAGTTAATTTGCCAAAGTATTTATTACTACTTACTTATTACTACTTACTACTTATTACTATTACTCTTACTATAAATAGGTATATATATATATTGTATTTATTAACTGTATATTATGTATATTTCATGTAGACTATATCATTTTTAAAATACAAACCAAAAATACGAGGAAGAATTGTGATTTCCATGTTTTCTACAACATATTTATTAATCCGTAGTATCTAACTAGCGTGACGTCGCAAATCTCGCTCCGAGGCTGTTCTATTACAGACGGCATTGCGTCAGCATGGCCGCAAGTTGCTAACCTAATAAAGTTAACATTAGAAAAGCCCGCGGGAACTGTCAAATTCAAAGTTATTCGTTTCACAGACTATATGATTATGTATAATTTGTTTTTAATTTTTACGTATGTTACGTTTAATAATGTTATGTTCTTTAAAATCAGAAGCGATTGCCATACATTACTAACGTCTACAGATGCATGAGCAATACATTTATTTTTATTAGATTGTATTAAAAAAGCCTCTTTTATTTTTCTTTTAGAGGCTATCGCTTCTTTCATTATAATTTTGGCATCGTTAAAATCTTTTCTGTGCCCTGTGTATCATGAATGCTGACAAATCTTAGATTTGTGAAAGTCGCCCTTTCATAAATAATCTTTATGTTCTTTGATTCGACCATTTAAGGGTCTAGATGTTTCACCAATATAAAATTTATCGCATTCACATTTTTTTTTAAATATCTAAATATTTTATTAAAAATGTTTCTATAGAGATGTGCAAAAAAATCACTACCTATAGTCTGTCCAGCGTATGGAAGGTAGCGATAAAGAGAATCATCGTTTATGTGACTTTGTTATAAATAACGTGAAGTAAGTCAAAAAAGGGAAGCAACGCGTCAGAAATGGCATATTTATCTATCTCTTTTTAATTATTTCCTTTTCTAAAAATTTTTGGCGCTTCTTTCAAATGTAGACCTTTTGCTACAGCAGCGCCATCTTAATTGTTTCCTCGTTAGATAATAATACTCCTTACCTCTACCCACCATAGTTCTACGATAGAGAATCCGTAACACAAACCATCCACAAATGACACACAGTTGTGTCTGTCATTTGTGGATGTCATCTGTCGAAATCTTTCCTGACTCGTTGAACAGACTATACCTGTAATAAAAGTAGCAATTCACGGCTTTTAACAATTTAAAAATAAATTTAATGCTTGATGTACTCTTTCTTTTGTTCTTTTTATTCAATTTTATGCAATATTCTCAACATATACTTTCTTTTTTTATTTCCAAACAATTTTTAAACATTTCCTATGCTATTCTCGTTGCTTTAGGCCACGACATACCCCCAGTTCAAGCTCAAAACAACACAGTTGAGTTAAACGAAGCCACCGATCTTAATGATTCCGGAGACGGTTTGATTCTTAACGATACGTCCAGTTATGAATCAATGGAAGTCGATGGTATAACAACGAACATAGAGGCCGAACCGATTCAGCAAAATAGTCAAGTTGTCGAAATCACCAAGGTATTACTCGTTTTTTATAGTTTACAGAAATAAAGTTATTTTTTTGTTAATAATCTCACAATTACTAAAATTTACCAAAAATAAATCAATTGAAAAGTGTAAAAATATGATGATTTAATACGAGGTTTTGAGACATAATTTATATATAACTGAATTCTTTTATAGGATGAAGTATATACTCAGTCCTGTTCAGAAACTGATAATAGCGCATCACTAGAACAGCACTCTTCCGAAGAATATGCTTCGCTAGATCGAGCATCATTAGAGCACCACGCATCGTCAGAGCAACTGTCACTAGAAAACCACGCTTCATTAGAACAAGCATCGATAGAACAGCCACATGCGTCGTTAGAACAGCACCAATCAGAAGAACACCCATCCTTAGAAGGACTTTCTATAGAGTCGCAACCCGACAAATCTCTAGAAGAGTCAAATGTACAAACAGACAGCTTTATAAGCCAGGAGGAAAATCAAAACGCATCCAATGAGCTACTATCAAATGTTGAGCATCAGTTTGCCAGTGAAATCTGTTCAGAAATACAGGAAACCAAAGAGAATGAAAATTGCCAGATGGAGAATGAAAATAACGAAAACGTCGAGGCCGAACAGTTTCAGGAAAACGCAACCTTGGAACAGATTCAACACAACGCAGCATCAGAACAGATTCATGAAAATGTCGACCTGGAACAGATTCACGAAAACGTAGACCTGGAACAGATTCATGAAAATGCCGATCCGGAACAGGTTCACGAAAATATAGACACGGAACAGATTCATGAAAATATTGACACAGAACAGACTAATGAAAGTTTAGATACAGAACAGATTCATGAAAATCTAGAATCTGAACAGATTCAGCAAAATATGGAACAGGAACATATTCAGCAAAACGACAATAGTATTCAGTCGCATTTTTGAGGATTTCACTGACGTTGTCTCAGCAGAGTTCCAGTCAGAAAGTGCTGAGGAATCTGAATAAGGAGATATTGGACGATTGGGACGATACGGACAGTCAGCAAAGTCAGAGGAGTCGAGAGTGTGTGCTACAGGACGAGCAGACGAGTATAGATCAAGATTCAAACCATGTTGTGAATGGTAAGTGATATCAATAATTTTCTAGTATTTTTTTAACACAATTGTTCTTATAGTTTAGTTAATATTTTTTCCGATTTCAGTTTACTAATATAGTTCCCATACAGGGTGTTTCACAAATAAGGGCAAGTATTTTAATAGGTGGTAGATCTCGATAAAAGAAACATATTTTCTCTTTATGGTTTAGTTTTAAGTTTTGGAGTCATTTATTTTACTTTGAAAATTTCCAAAAATATGATTTTTTGCTCAAATTTTGAGAACCACTGGATCTTTTCTGGATTTTTTTTCTTGTAAATTTAATCTACCACCTATGTTGCCATATTATCAAGAGATTATGTTTTTTTACTAAAAAATAAAAAAAATTGCAAAAATTTTTTCAAAAAATTCCGTATTTTCAAAAACAAATTTTCGAAAAGCCCTCATAAGCGTGTTTCTGGGGTTGAACTATATTACCAGTTAAAATAAACTTGCACTTATTTCTGGGACACCTTGTATAATATTTTCTCTCGTTTACATGGTGTTGATTATAGATTGTATAGGAGGGGGTATGAGTTAATTACCGCGACCTTATAGACATTCTTGAGATCAAGCACGTGAAAAACTATTTTTTATGCGTAAAAAACTATTTTACAGGCAAAAAAACTATTTTTTCCGGGCAAAAACTATTTTTTACAGGAAAAAACTATTTTTTACAGGAAGAAACTATTTTTTACAGGAAAAAACTATTTTTTACGCGTAAAAAACTACTTGTTACACGTAAAAATCTATTTTTTACACATAAAAAACTATCTTTTACACGTAAAAAACTATTTGTTACACGCAAAAGAAACTATTTTTGACAGACAAAAAACTATTTTTTACGCGTAAAGCTATTTGTTCAACGTAAAAAAACAATTTTTTACATGCAAAAAAACTATTTAGGCGTAAAACTGAACTATTTTTTACGCGTTAAAAAAACTATTTTCGTAAAAAATATTTTTTTCACAAAAAAGTATTTGTTACAGGTAAAAACTATTTGTTATACGTCAAAAATGATTTTTTGCACGCAAGAAAAACTATTTTTTTACGCGCAAAAAACTAATTTTTACGCGTAAAAAGCTATTTTTTATGTGTAAAAGACTATTTTACGTAAAATATATTTTTTACACCAAAACTATTTGTTACACGTAAAAACTTTTTTTATGCGTAAAGACTATTTGTTACACGTAAAAAACGATTTTTTACACGCAAAAAAACATTTTTTTACACATAAAAAGCTATTTTTTTCACGTAAAAAACTATTTTTAAATGTAAAAAGCGATTTTTTACGCACAAAAAAAATGTTTTTACAGGCGAAAAACTATTTTTTACGCGTAAAAGCTATTTGTTACAAGTAAAAAAACAATTTTTGACACGCAAAAAGAACTATTTTTTATGCGTAAAAAGCTATTTGTTATACGTAAAAAAAAAGATATTTACATGCCAAAAAACTATTTTTTACAGACAAAAAACTATTTTTACAGACAAAAAACTATTTTTTACGCGTAAAAAACTATTTCTTACACGTAAAAAATTATTTCTTATATGTAAAACACTATTTTTCACGTAAAAAACTATTTTTTTCACAAAAAACTATTTGTTGCAGGTAAAAAACTATTTGTTATACGTCAAAAATGATTTTTTGCACGCAAGAAAAACTATTTTTTTACGCACAAAAAACTAATATTTACGCGTAAAATATATTTTTTGCACCAAAACTATTTGTTACACGTAAAAAACAATTTTTTATGCGTAAAAACTATTTGTTACACGTAAAAAACGATTTTTTACACGCAAAAAAAACAATTTTTTACACATAAAAAGCTATTTTTTACACGTAAAAATCTATTTTTAAATGTAAAAAGCGATTTTTTACGCACAAAAAAAATATTTTTACAGGCGAAAAACTATTTTTTACGCGTAAAAGCTATTTGTTATACGTAAAAAAAAAGATATTTACATGCCAAAAAACTATTTTTTACAGACAAAAAACTATTTTTTACGCGTAAAAACTATTTGTTACACGTAAGAAATTATATGTTAAACACTATTTTTCACGTAAAAAAACTATTTTTTTCACAAGAAACTATTTGTTACAGGTAAAAAACTATTTGTTATACTTAAAAAACTATTTTTTACACGCAAAAAAAAACAATTTTTTACACATAAAAAGCTATTTTTTACACGTAAAAATCTATTTTTAAATGTAAAAAGCGATTTTTTAAGCACAAAAAAAAATATTTTTACAGAAAAACTATTTTTTACGCGTAAAATCTATTTGTTACAAGTAAAAAAACAGTTTTTGACACGCAAAAAGAACTATTTTTTATGCGTAAAAAGCTATTTGCTATACGTAAAAAAATATTTTTACATGCCAAAAAACTATTTTTTACGCGTAAAAAACTATTTGTTACACGTAAAAAATTATTTCTTATATGTAAAACACTATTTTTCACGTAAAAAAACTATTTTACGCGCAAAAAATATTTCCGTAGCTATAGGGTGTCAATTTTTTTCAACTTTGAATGTTTTGCTAGATGATGTTTCTCTGAGGGAATGGATTGTGGTTTTCGTGGAGGTTTTCCACTTTTTGATATTCTAGTTTTATTCAGAATTAACATAGGATAGTATAGAAAAAGAAAAACAATTATCTGTTTTATAGAAGCCGTCGAGAATGTCAACAAACTTATGGACGACTGGGACGAAGAAGACGAAGAACAGAGTAAAGACTAAAATCATTTTTTATATAAATTTCGTGTGACTTTATGTTATGGTAGGATATTTTAAATTATAAAAAATCAAATTTAGTTCCTTTTTAAACCTA